GCACAACAGGTTATTACACAACAGCTGACCGCAAAAGCCCTTGGCGGCCAAACCGTGTGTTGGCCGACAACTTCGTTTTCTCGGCTTTGGAACCACCTTTCGTAATGTTGTTTCAATTGGAAGTACAGTCCACTAGTCCCTTCCTACCTCTAAAGTCTCCACCTTCCCCGACCAGTGTTATTCTCTTGACAGCCTTTTCATGGTCAAAACCGGTTCCCATTGAGTTACGCCGCCCAAACCAAATTTTCACCTGGTTTCCCTATGCCACCTTTTTTTTTTTTGTATAATAAGTGCTGTGTCATGTTACTGTCAAGTCCAAGCACCTGTGTGCCCAAATCTGCACTTTGCACAGCCCGCTATAACACAACATTTTGGGTCCAATATTGGATATACCGTACAGCTTTATTTCTTTATTCGTTAGAAACAACTTTCACACCTGCTGTCTTAATGAAACTTGGCACACTTCGTGCAGAAACTTAGTGGACATCTTACTCGCCTCCAATATCATCGTTCCAGCAGTCCTACGTTTACAGCGACGAGCGAAATAAATTTCCCACTCAAAGCAATTATGGTGGCGGCCGTCTTGCTTTTCGGAAAATTGCTCCAACTCCTTTTTTGGCCGCAACTAGATAAATTCCCCCGAATAACGACTAAAACTCAATATATAAGAAGAGGAGAACAGCTAAATGGCCCTTCTTAGGTCTGCCCCAGCATTCATGCAACGTCACCCTCAACGTATCGGCTCGAAAAGCAAAAGTTTCGTCCGTGCGCGCTTCCGCCGCCACAGCTTGGCATGCGAAAAGGCGCCGCAGGCTGCTGAACGCGCCTCACGGTCGAACGCCAGCTCCTCCGCTAGCGGCGCTGCGCGCGTTTTTCAAAGCGCCCCCTATAGTTCCCGCACGGAGTGTATAGGTCGGATTGCGCAGGCCGGGAGCACACAGCTCGGGTTGCAAGGCTGGCAGACCGCCAACCCAGCATACGCGCACGCGGGGATGCGATGCGCAGCGAAAAAGCAATTGTATAAAAAATAAAAAAAGCAACCAATAAAAACAAAAGAAGTGGAGGATGGCAAAAGCAAGGGGAAGGGCACCTGCGCGCGTGGGGAGGGCAGGGAGTGCCCGCTGTTGGAACGGTCGCGTGCGCTCATTTTCCCAAACACCGCTGTCACTGTGCGACCTCCTTAGCCCCAAAATAAAAAATAAAAAAAAAATAAAAAATAAAAAAAAGATTTTGTTAGGTGGAGTGTTTTGACAACAAGGGTTGAGCAATCGCACTTTGAACACCTTATGTTTGTTTACCCTTTCCTTTCCCCGTTATTGCTCCCGTTTCCGGCTTGAGCGGCGTCGCCGTCAGGTCTCGACACCCCCCCCCCCCCCGAGGTCACATGACCAGACCTGGGGGGGTCACGTAAACCTCAGTTTACCTTTTTTTATACTTTATTCGCTATCAATTTTACTAACCACTTCGTTCTGTTTTCTTTTTAAATCTAATAAAAGTTACTCGCTATCATCAAAACTGTATTGTGTTGTTATTTTATTTTATGACATGCTTTTTAGAGAGTGACAGCATCTGGTGACATGGTGTCCGCCCATCTTGACCTAAAACAAAGTTCTGTGTCACTCAGGGAATTTCACAAAAGTACTCAGAGGAAACCTGAAAAACTCAGGGAATTTGAAAATGCCAACTTGGTAGACACATTGAATAACTCTATGGCAGATCACTACCTCAAACTTTCGTTAATGCGGGACTGCTTTTTAAAACTCTTTGCTGTTGAGAGGGTGCAAATGCATTGAACCCTATGGACGTTCGCTGGGGCCGCCAGATTTCTTCGTTGCCGCGAGAATTTCGTTCTTGAAAGGTTCAACTGTATTAGCAGAATACGAATCTAAATTAATTTATCCCACCCAAAATAAATTCCATGGCTCCTTTTTAAACACTGTGATTTTATCCAAGCCTCGGGTAAAAACAGTTTAGCTTTCTCGGCTCCCGATTGGACGCGTCGCAGGTTTCTGCCGGGCAAGCTTTGTCAACTAACGTCCCAACTCTTTAGCCCCGCACGGATGGTGAGAGATATCTCGCAGTGGCTGATGTTCGTTCTGAACCTTTCTTTATCCACCGGTGTATTTGGACGTCTGTACGGCAACAAAATGACTGAAAACTTGCAAGTTAAGCACAGGTTGTGGATTGCTTGCTTTATAGAATAGCAGACACACAATTCAAGCTCGTGTCCGATTTTGTTGCTCGTGGGACGTCATTTTTTTAGCAGAAAGTTCACTTTTTCTGCAGTTCTACTGTCCCGCATGGTGGACAAACCAGTCATCTGCTCTTGTTCCCTGCCGAAGTGATGCATGACGGGAGTGCATTCAGGTACACACTTAATTCTCAGGGTGCAGCGAGCGCATGCACGTGTGGAGTGCCGGCGGCGAAACAAACTCACTTCATGTTGCGAGTGGGTGCGCATAGGCACGAGTGCAGCGAAACAAACTCGCTATTAGTTTTCACATGTGGTCATGCACTGTGCACGAGCATGTAGCTTCGTCTTGCATCTTGTTCGCATGCAGAAGTTGCTTCGACGGCGTAGCAGAAATTACACTAGCCTTGACAATAAAGAACAAAGAGGCTTACGCCGAGCCTAGACACTGGTGCAAAAGACGGCCGAGCCAGAAAACCTAAGCCAAGTCGCCACAAAATTATGTTTCGAAATGGCTGAATTGAAAAGACTGAACCGCCACCAAACATGTTCTGTTGTAGAACACAAAAGTACATCCCCTGACACGAGCGTCCAAAATATACTTACAATGGCTAGCGACGCCTCATAAAGGTCATGCAGTGACCCTCTGCTTGGCCGGTTAAGCCACACGCAGTGCCGTGCAGAGTACAGGACGACGCCCGTGAGCCAGCCGGTGCGGTGACTCCGGGCCTGCCCGTAGTGTTCCGCTGCTACCGTGGACAAGGCGAAAGCGAGCTCATCGATGCCATGATCCCTGGGACCTGTGGTGTATAAATATTGTGATTAAAAGTCTTACAGTCGCCGACCAATGTCACTTAGTCAAATGAAAATGAAAGAAGCGAGATGTCTTCTTCCACATTTTGCTGTTCTCTATTTTTGTTCCTTTTACATCTCTAGTTGTAAGATCAATGTTGACCAAGTTCTTTTTTGTTATCAACTTGTTCGCATTAAAATCTAAAATTTTACAACAGGGTAGAGTTGTAAAACCAAGAGGGGCTACCCAACACACGCATGCAGCCCCCCCACCCCACTTCATGGGGGTTGTCCTACGCAAGTATGTAGCTGCGCTGCAGAGAAGCATGATACACATGATCTACACGGACTTTTAGCTGCATTCTTCCATGAATCTAATGTCCGCCTGGCCGTATAACTGTCATAACTTTCACTTTTTCTTTGAAATCTGTAAATGTTAAAGAAGAAAACCTGTATAACCATAGCTAAAAAAAAATCTGACACTTGAATTGCTAAAAACAGTTTGGGGACTTCCAAGAGCGATTATTGCATAAAACAGCTTGTCAATGGTCAGAGCCTAGCAAAGCTCAACCACCACCAGCATGGCACTGCCAACAGCGCTGATGTCACTTGCATGACACATCCACATGCCGTGCCAATCATACATGGAACGCATGAAAGCATGGCGGGCAGTCCATGCAGCGTTGACTGTTGGTGGCTGCGGAAGCTCGGCGCAGACACAGAAGCACCAAAGGCGGAGGATGGCACATGTTTTCTGTTGCAGCAATGTCCTTTTGCTCGGCACACCGCCAAAAAACATTTCGGATTGGCGTTCAACATTTCTAATGGTAATCGTCTTATCTGTATGTACTTGGCCGAAAGAACCGTGAGGACATTGAGAAAATCGTGTTCCGCAGTCAATTTACCTGCCCTTCGTAGTACACTATGTACTGGCGCGTGACGTTGCTCTGTGTTCCTAGTATTATATTTCTCTTTTTTAGATGGCTGCAAAAGACGAGGACAAAGACATTACAGCAGCACTGCCAATAGTTTCTCCATGTTGAGTGCTGAATTCCTGTGAAGCAGGATACGTTTCTCAAACCTTGCTGGCGCCATGGCCACAAAACGAACAAGTGATATCAATGCATGCCTTTTATATGGTCGGTGACGACTCAAGAAGGTAGGGGAAGAAAAAGGAAGGTGGGAGAGGACGAGATGGATGCAACGCCGGCGAAGGGAGAGGGTTTGACCAGCATTGTGCCCGCTTCCTCCTCTCCCACCTTCTTTTCCCTGACCCTACCTCCTTAACCTGCAACATAGTTCAAATCAAACTGCAAAATTTCTTCGAGGCTCGAGAGCGAAAGCAGCTTGTCAGGATGTATTTTGTGTGAATACCATTTAGCTGAAGCACATTGTTTTTGTGGACTCAAGGTACGTGGCTAAAAAGTCAATGCCAGGGATCTTTGTGAGAAAAAGAACACTTAAAAGATATCCTCGGCCGCAGTTGGCTCTTTGAGTCACATATTTGACGATAGGTATTGTTAACACATATTTATGTGAACACCAGGATGCTGTTTTGATGGTAACATACTAAATGGTGATATAAAAAAAAAAAAAAAAAAAAAAAGCTGGGAGTAGAAGCACATTATCTACCTTTCCCTACCAAAGAACAATGAAACGATTAGTCACCTGCTCAGGACTTTGATCGTCTGCTTAGTTGTGGGCGACGCCTCTGCGAGCATCAACGACAGCCCCCATTCTAGCGTGCAGAGAGCCATACAGTGCTTCTGTAAAGGATGCCTTCACCATCAGACTTTTAACAGAGCGGTCACTCCTTTTTTTTTCTGCGCACCGAACGAAAGGACGGTACAGTAGCAGACGACGCCAGCGTGCACGGCTGCTGGCGTCACTGCGTGTGCTCCAAGCTTCCGCGAGTGCTTGCGGTCCTTGCTGCATGGAGCACTGGCTACGCACTCGCGTGCTCCCTTCAAGATTGGACTGCTCAGTGCACCGCTAGGAAAAGCAGTACAAAACATACCGCAACGATGCATCAGGGGCATGCACTGGTCCCCTGAAGTGTGCTTCGAACCATGTGCAGTGCAGGGTGCAGCACAGCATCCGCGTGAGTCAGCCGCGGCAGTGATTCGGGGCTCGTAGTGTTCTGCGGCTGCCTTGAAAAAGTGAGGGCCAGCTCTTCGCACCTCCTCTGAAAAATGTTTTACAACAGAGAGGTCAGTTATCTCCCTGCCTCTCATTGCCTTTCTGCTGTCCTGTCCTTTGTTCGAGAGCAATCGCTGCTATATTGTGTCTCAGCACGATCACCTTAGTCATACAAAGGAACGTGCAGATAAAGATCATTATTATTAAAGCACGTTTTACCTTCACATTCAAACTTCGGGCCTCCTGCTTTCTCCTCGCGTGTGGCGGCAAGCGTCTGTTGAGGCTACCATGCTTCGAGACGATCCTCGCGTGGTTCAGACCTGCGTTAGATTTTTTTTTTTTTTTTTAATTACGCCCTGGCAGCTCGTTTAAGCGCCTCTCGGCGTGTTCCCGCGCAGACAGTGACAGGCGAAGCATCAGATTCTACGCTTGCTTCGTTGGGCCTTCCTGTCTCGTTGAAAAACTGGATCGAAGTCTGTGTCGATGGCATGCAATCATTGCTATAGCGACTTATTGAGCACTTGCGGTCATACGGAAGCTTCCAAAATTGTGAGCGCGCTCCTAAGCCTTTGCGGAGGGCTCTGCTAGCCGTCACGTCCGCATGTTCTACCGAAGGATTTCGGGCGAGCGGTTGGTAAAGGCAGCTCAAGAAACAAATCGACACGTTGAGCGCACGAAACCCAATTCAAATCCGCTTGGATGGCATCAGCATCCAGCACCGACCGACCATTCCCGCCATTTCTGGTAGCGCCTTTGTTCCCGGACGCACCGGACTAAATTATGTCAAACGACTCCAAACGGAACTGAAGCACTAAAGTGCGGTGAACACTCACCTTTATGAATACCTCCTGTTCTTGGTGTTCTTGGAGATGTACGAGAGGTATTTGGCGGCTCTGGCGGTTCGCGATCGACGCCGGCACTCATCCGGCGAAGCTGAGTGCATACATTGTTTTTGTTGTCAACGGCTGCCACTGCGCACGGTCAACCTCGTTCCACTCGAGAACTTGAGCTGCTTCAGCTGGTTATCGACGGTTAATACGTCGCCACCCAACACCTGAACGTAGAACGAAAACAAAAACATTGCCCCCGCGGCCAAGGGCGCCAAGGCGGAACAGAACGGAAGGAACCGTACCAGCCAAAATTAAAGAATCAAGCAAGGAAAATAAAAAAAAAATTAAAAAAGTAAAAACAAACAAAAACAAGAAAAGTGATTTTTTTATATATTTTTACTTTAAAACGTCATCTAAAAGTCAACAAAATAACAAAACCGGAAGTGACGTCATTTTTTTTCAGCCAATCGGCGTTTCCAGTTTTACTGCCCCGAAACGCTTGTGCCAAGACAGCCGGATGGATGTGCCGGTCGCGTATCACTCCGCGAGAGCCGCAGACGCGAGCAAAGCGATCGTCGTCCGTGTCGTCTGCTTCCCATACCTTGGAAACGGATGTCTTAAAACATCGCTCGCGTTATAAAAAAACAGGATTTCATTGCACCCAATTTACGCACATAATGTTCAATGATTTAGGAAGCTTTCGGTTCGTTCGATTTTAGTCTAGGATCTATATTTGGCGAGCTCAAAGCGGAAAATATGTTCCCCCGAAACTCGGCGCTCTGGAAGGCCGCTTTCCCGCACGAAGGTCGGATCCAGTTCTGCCCACGTGACCACTCCTCCGCCAATACGGAGATGGCGGCGAAAGGAAAAGGAACGCGATACTCTGGCTCTGCAAGCAGAGCCTATACAGTTACTCTACGCTACTCCAGAACGGCTCTGCGCTACTCCAGCGCTACTCTGCTCCGAAGGAGCTATACACCTTTCCAAAAATCACTCCTAGGCCGCCGCCATGTTGCTGATGCTGATGCGGCTGGTGCGACTCTCGCGCCCTCTATCAGCTAGAAATTTTCTGCCACTCTCTGGGACTGTGAAGACCCGCTCAGCGCGGTTCTCTACCTACGTTTTTGCGGTTTTGCATTCGACGTTTCCTCGCCTCTCTTCAAAGTTTCCACTTATTTTTTTATGCGTGCTGCGTACCCTTTTTGTGTTGTCTTCTATTGTGAGAAATAAGGCTGGTAAGTGCCTGCCATTCAAGCTTTTCAGCTCGACATTCACGGGAAAGGTGAAGGACGTTGAACGGCCCTCGACGCGATTTTGCGAACATTGTTCTCCCCCCTCCCAGAGATAATCCGTGTAGAATCCTCAGTTATCTCCAAAATTAGTTGTCCGGGTTGGGGTGAGAAATGGGTCAGTCGCGTTTGTTTCTTTGCCTTGGTGCGGTTGTGAAAAAAGGAAGCTCTCCCCGAAACGTGCCCCAAAACGAAGTCCTCTCGGATTCCGTGCGATCGTCAAGATGTGACTGTCGTCGACTGTGACTGTGTTATTTGAGATCGTTCTCAAATAAATTCTTTTCGGATAACGCTGCATCGTGTGGTACGTACGATATATTGTTCGAATGTGAACACTTCCTCAATTGTATGTCCGTGTCCTGTCCATCGGTAAACACGTTATCTGTGAGTGTGAAAAATGCATGACTTTCGGCCCTCTTCTGTTGCAATTTATTTTTGACAGCAAAACGCTTTGTCGTTTCACATGCGGCGAATCCCGCTGCGCCGTCAAAACTTATCGTAAGAAAACAAAAATAACTAGAACTATACATTCCAGTCGCATTCGTTCTGTCGCGCGCGTACCCAACAAAAATAGTTAAGTTTTTTTTTTTTTTGTTGCTTTTTTGTTTTTTCAAATGGGCTACAATGATTTCTCAATGTCCTCGGGAAAATACATGTACCATGAGACACAAAATATAGCGGGAAAAGGTGATAATCTAGCCGCCAGCAGCGTTTGAAACTGCGCCTACGCAAGCTGCGCCTATTGAAATCACAGTCCACTCGGTTAGGGTTAGGAGGGACGCCGGTGAGAGTCTAGCCTCAAACTCAGTGACTGGGCTCGAAAACGGTTGGTTGCCCCTGGGGTCGAGTGTTTTTTGGAAAGGTGTATATAGTGCTCTAGTTTAGCCCACTGATCTCAATGATAAGCACCTTATCAATGACAATTGACAAGCCACTTCGAAGCAGTGTTGCCAATTTAGCGGTTTTCCCGCTAAACTTAGCGGTTTTTGGTTCTGTTTAGCGGGGTAAATTATTGTTTTGCGAGCGGCGGGATTTTTAGCCGGTTTTATGTAATCTTGGCGGTTTTTTAGAGATATAGAAGTTTAATATCTATTTACTGTCAACTATGCACCTGTCGTATTCATAATCAGCCACAGTCGTCTTAGCTTACTCTCAGTAATGCTTTGGTTTGTGAGAGTAGCACCTGTGACGTCATCAAAACATTAAGGCGTCGAATATCGGAACATGCCTCTCTGTTTGGTGCGCGCTCGTTTGAACAGCATGAATGTTCCAGTGTTCGTTTGACGTTTTTGTGACTGCTTCGTAAAACGGGCCGCGTGAATTCCGGCCTTGCTACAAGACCCCAAACTTAAGGACTGCCCACTGATCTCTATGTCTATTTGCTGGATCGCGTTTGACCAGCTCCTCCTATGGACCGGAATGCGGTCACTGGCGGCCATCTTTAGGTAGAGTTATATCATCTCTAGCCATCATAGTAATATGGCGGACAGCGCAATGGCGGCAGGCTGCCATAAAAATAGCCGTAGATCTAGTACACTGTACCGTGGGTGACATTTCGTGCTTGATTGAAGTTGTTCGACGAAGCAGATTCTTGAAACCCGGTTTGAACGGTAGCCTCATCTTTGAGGACCCGGCAAAAGTTCTACGAAAGCGCAGCACCGGGGGAAAGCAGCGCAGCTCGCATCAAAAGCAGACTCCGTACCGTCGTCTGCTTTAGATGCTCCTTTCGATGTGACTTTCGATATGTGCTGTGCTGCTTTTCTCCCGGTGCTGCGATTTCGTGAAACTTTTACCAGGTCCTCAAAAACCAGACTACTGTTCACGCCGGGTTTCAAAAACATGTTTCGTCAAATAATTTTAATCAAGCACGCAATATCACCCACGCTATTTTGACCGCAGCCTGCCAACCCACCTGCCAAAAGGCTATCTGCCATGGATGGATGATAGCGGCTGCAGCAGCTTACATTGGCTAGAGGTGATATAACTCTACCTAAAGATGGCCGCCAGTGACCGCATTCGCGGAGCGGGCAAACGCGATCCAGCAATTGTCATAGAGATCAGTGGGACTGCCTGTGCCTACTGGAGGTTCCTGGTGATAGCAGACGAACCAGGTGCCGCTATTGCAGAACGGAACTATCTGCGAAGCACCCGAATTTGGTCGCGCGCTGTGACAAAGAAGCATGTTTCGGCCGCTGCATTTTTCTCCTCTGGTAGGTTGACGACTCTGCAAGTTGAACGGAAGTCTGACCAGTCACGCCCTGCTGAAGGGTCCCTTTCCATGTTCATATGCGCTCACTCCGAAATCTTGGCTTCGCATCACCTGGGTGAACTGTGTCGTGGCGTGACAGATTTCTAGTCACAACAAAAGGAAAGCTTCCTTTCAGATGACATTGATGTGATCTATACTGTTATTGTACCTTTGAGCAAGAATTAAAGCAATTTTTTAAAACCATTTTTGCGGTTTTTTTTTTTTATTTTTTTTTGGGGGGGGGGGGGGGGGGGGGGGGGATTTAGCGGTTTTCGGGGTTTCGACTGCGGGTTTTCGATTTTTGAGTTGGCAACACTGCCCCAAAGACAGTTCGAGGGGCTTGAACCGGATCGGACGCGGACGGATCGGACGCGGATTCCGGAGCTCGAAGCTAAGTGAAAATTTGTTGTTTTGTATCTGAGTTTGGTTTTAAGTGTACTACTTATGGCTTAGCATAAAGTAGATTCAATAGAGCAGTAGCATCGGGGAGGTGAAATGGGAATGTAGGGGTAGGGGGAAGCGATTGTAGCGGTAGTGTAGGCTCACGTGTCGGGACACGTGTAGTTCAAATTTTTTTGGCGGGCGCTTTGTCTCGGTCAGTTAATTTGAAATTATATAGGGACACTGTTCCTTCTCTTCAGTTGGATTTAGAGGTATTTGGGGAGGACAGGAGCGCGAATGGCAAAAAAACCGGACAAGGCCAAGCCAGACAGGGCCAAACCGGATGTGCCCAACGTGGCATGCGGTAAGTGTGAACGATGGTGCTTCCTCATGGAAACCCCGTTCGGGAGCGTGGAGGAAGCAGCGGACAAAGAGTACCAATGCCGGATCTGCGTGAATGCTGATGAGGTGAAGGGGATGTTGGAGATGATGAGGGGGGAACTCGGGAAGGAGCGGGAGGCTCGAGAGAGAATGGAGCTGCAGATGAAGGAGGCTAGGGAGGGGCTCAGGGACGAGAAGGGCGAAAACAAAGGGGTGGACGGGGGAGAACTTGGCGGGCAGAGGAAGGGAACACACGTACAGTGTGGTGACTGCAAAAAGTCAGTGGACATAGAGGACACAAGGTTTGATAGCGTAGACGAGGCAGGGATGACAGAGTTCATGTGTAGAATGTGCGTCCTAAACGCACGACAGGACAGGCTGGAAGCAGAGAACACAGAGCTGATGGCAAGGATTGTGAAGTTAGAGGCAGAGCTGGAGAGGGAAAGAAGTGAAAGGCAGACAGTGGACGACAAGCTGGCGAAGGCGAACGAAGAGTTGGCAGATCTGGAGGTGGTCCTTCTGCCATCGGACATCACAGCAAACGACACGGTCGTAGAAAGTGATGGGGGGAGGACGTACAAAGAAGCACTGAAGCCGGGAGGAGAAGAGACGGGAAAAGGGGAGGAAAAGTCAAAGGGCAAAGCCCCTGCTTTGGTGGAGAGTAGGCAGGACATGGAGGGCAACGTGATCATAGCAGGGGACTCCAACATGGAAAGGTGCAGGAGGGCAATAGCTGAAAGGGTGAAGGGGGACGCCAGGGTCCGGATTGGGGTGTTGCCTGGACAGACAATGAGGGCGGTGATTGAGGGGGTGAAAGATAAACTATGGGAGACAAAAGAAGGCCAAAACCTCGTGGTGATAGCGGGGGGACTGAACGATGTATTACGAGGGAACGGGGGAGGGGTGGGGAAGCAGTTGCGCAGGGGAGTGCTGGAGTTGAGGGCGACATCAGACAATGTAGAGATCCATGTCTGCACAGTGCCAGAGGTGAGGGGCCAGGGCGTTCACATCGAGAGAGCCGTGGTGGCCGCAAACCGGGACATCAGGAGACTGGGAAGGGAGATGGGTTTCGGGGTGATGGACATGAATTGGGAGGTGCGCAATAACAGAGCGAAGGCTTTTGAGGGGACCGGTATCCATTTCAGCCCCTACGTGGGGAGGGCCGTTGGGTGGCGGATGGCAGGGAAGGCGGTGGCTTTTTTAGGAGGCCCCAAAGCTCTAAGGGCGAAGAATCCTGCCAGGAGCGAGGCGAAGGGCCCGTAGGAGAGGGGAGGTGGGGTGGGCACATCAGAGAGACACCGGAGGGCAAAGGGGTAGTGGAGAGCGGCAATGTGGGTTTGGGGGAGGTGGCCAGGGAGGGTGGGAGGAAGCCACGCAGAAACAGGAAGAAGAAGCTACTTAACATAGCTTTCATAAATATGCAGGGGGGCAGGAACAGAATAAAGTGGGAGGAGATTGAGGAGCAATTAGAAAGCGAAAACTTTGCAGTGTATGGATTAGCAGAAACACATCTGAGGGATTTGGAAGAACCACCACACATACCGGGATATCATTGGATGGGATGCAACCGGGCCAACGGGGAACGCAAGGGAGGCGGATTAGGGATTTTAGTGAAGGGTCAGGAATGGGAAAGGGAACGAGAGGACTGCAGGGAACACATGTGGATCAAAGGCAATATTGGAGGTTTAGACACAATCCTGGGTATTGTGTATCTAAAAACAGGGAGCGATGCAGGGGAGGAAAACGCAGAACACTTAACATGCATATCAGGAGACGTTAGGGAAATCGGCACTAACAAGGAAATAATTATCCTGGGGGACATGAATGCACATTTGGAAGACTTTGATGGACATACGGATACAACAGGTAGGATGTTAGAGGAGTTCTGTGAAGCTCTTGATCTGGTATTGGTTAACGCCCAGGTAAAATGTGATGGAAAAATAACATGGGAGAGAAAGAACTCACACTCGACTATCGACTACTGTTTAATGTCACGGAAGATATACAACAGACTTGGAGGTATGGAAATAGATGAGGAAAGCACAAAAAGTCTGGGGAGCGACCATAAGAGAATCAAGATCAGATTTGGCACAGTAAAATCAGAAACGCAAAATAAAAAACAAGAGGGTAGAAATAACTTAAATGATAAACAATTACAGGAGGTATCTAAGCGGATCGAGAACATAGTGTCCAAGCTACCGGAAAGAGAATGGACATATGAAGACTTAGTTACTGTTTTCAAAAGAGAATTAGAGAAATATCGAACCAGACAAGGAGGAAGGAAACATAAACGCAAGCTCAAAAGCTGGTGGGATAAAGAGGTTAAGGCAGCAATATCGAGACGCCAAGCGGCATCTAGAGAACACAGATGGGCAAAAAATAAGGGGGCCACTCCAGCCGAAGTGACAGCAAAATGGGAGGACTTTCAGGAACGAAAGCGGGAGGCATCAACATTAATACAGGCCAAAATTGGGAGGGCAGGGGTCCAGTGGATGATAGAGATAAACCAAAAGGATAGGAATGCGGCAAAAAGGTTCTGGGAACACATCAGTGCACAGGGAAAAAAGACTGAGGAGTACCAGAAGACACTAATCACACAGGAAGGGACAAAGGTAGAGGGGGAAGAGGCAAGGGAATACATTAGACATACAATCGAAGCAGCATTTTCAGAGTTAGAATCAGATCAGGCCATAGGGAATAATAGCATCTACACAACACAAGAGGAGGAGCATAGTGAAGGAGAGGAAACGACCATAGGGGAATGGGAGAAAGCAGAAGGAAGGGTTCCGGCTGGAACTGCGACAGGTCCAGATGGCATACCAATGAGACTGATAAAAGTTCTAGGCCAAACAAGCAAATTGAAACTAAGGCAGGTGATTGACCAGATACTTATGGGAGGGGAGGTACCCAGTGACTGGAAATTGAGCAGAATGAGATTATTATATAAGGGCAGGGGAAACAAAGACAGTATCAAATCATACCGACCAATCACAGTAACTTCAGTAATATACAGACTAGCTATGCAAATCGTAAAAAGAAGAATGGAAGAATGGGCAGAGAGAAAGCAGATTCTGGGGGAGCTCCAAAACGGTTTCAGGATGGATAGACGATTAGATGATAACTTGTTCATAATCACTCAGTGCATAGAGATAGCAATGACAAGCCAAAGGCCATTATGGGTAGCATTTTTGGACATCAAAGGGGCATATGACAATGTGAATCAGGAAAAACTTTGGGAACAGCTAAAAGGGTATGGCCTAGGGGGAACCACGGTTAAGTTCCTAGAACGGGTTTATACGGAGAATAGGGTGATTATAAAATGGGAAGCCGAAACTACAAAACCAGCAGCAATAAAAAGAGGACTTAGGCAGGGTTGCCCATTGTCTCCCCTGCTCTTTATGATATACCTCAGTGAGATGGAAAAAAGATTAGAACAGTGCAACCTAGGTTTTGACCTGAATTACATGGAGGAAGGACATAAGGTAAATCAACTATTGCCAGGGTTAATGTATGCAGATGACATTGTACTCGTATCAGAAAGCCGTGAGACAATACAGGAACTGATTAGAATTTGCAGCGGGGAAGGGGACAGTTTAGGACTAAAATTCAGTAGGGACAAGTCGGGTATAATAGTTTTCAACGATGAGAAGGGGGAACCCCTGGAGATACAGGACACAGTGATAGAACACGTAGAAAAGTACAAATATCTAGGGGTCTGGCTCAATGAAGGAAGGAAATATCTAGAGGAACACGAGGAGAACACAATTAGAAAAGGGAAAAGAAATTCATCTATTATGAAGCTCAAGGCACTATGGAACTATAACAGATATGAAGTGGTCAGAGGTATATGGAAGGGAGTGATGGTGCCAGGACTGTCTTTTGGCAATGCAGTGCTGTGCATGAAATCTGAGGTTCAATCAGGGCTAGAAATTCGACAAAGAAGCGTAGGCAGATTGGCGCTGGGAGCACATGGAAAAACACCAAATGAGGGAGTACAGGGGGACATGGGATGGTCGTCTTTTGAGAGCAGGGAGGCAATTAGTAAGTTGAAATTTGAACAAAGGTTGACTGAAATGGAGGATACGCGGTGGGCACGTAAGGTATTCAAGTATTTATACATGAAAAGTTTAAACACAAAATGGACCAACCGAACCCGAAAGCTTACATTCAAATATCTACACACAGGTGATGGGGCTGAACAGACTACGTCAGTGAAAAAGAAGGTGAAAGAGGCGGAGAGGAAAATGTGGGAGGGGAGAATGCAGGAGAAATCAGCTTTAGCAGTGTACAGGTCACGAAAGCAGGAGATAAGAAAGGAAAAGCTATTTGACAATTCACTGGGAAGTGCTTTGCTGTTCGAGGCAAGAACGGGAGTTTTGAGGACACGGACATATAGGGCTAAATTTCAGGAGACCGACACGTTATGTGCCGCCTGCCATAATGATAGCGAGACACTGGAGCACTTGGTTTTGAAGTGCACGAGGCTTCGTCCTGCCCTCCCTGAAGGGGTAACGGATTTGGCCGGGGCCCTGGGTTTCACTGGCGACGATGGAAGGATGGTAGAGAAAAAGATTACAGTGACAAAGAGACGATTAGAGGATTGGTGGAAATTATCTAGGGAAAATTAAATGATGGACAACTAACTAGCACAGCTGGGAACAGGCGGGACAGAGGAAAATTGGGACTCCCTCCCGCGTGGCTCCGGCCCAAAGTCTCAACCCTGTCTCCCAGTGGGTCCGGTGCTGGGGTAACGCCGAAAAGGTTTGACCAGAGGAAAATTGGCGACTCCCTCGCCGGGGGGAAGAGGCAGGGGGGTGATGTTTTTTAGTTTTTTTGCCCGATCCCCCGAAGGTCATCCTGGTGATATCCCACACTGCCTGGTGATAGTTAGGGGGAGAAAAATTGGTCTTAAAAGGGCGGGAGGAATCACGTTTTTGTCTTTTAGACTTAGGCTAGGTGGCGCAAGCTACCGCCCGTTACAAAGGGAATAGCCATTAACATCCATCCATCCATACATCCATCCATCCGTAGCCAGCCTAGCCAGCGCCTGAGCCAGTTCGACCAGCACCTTGAGCACCTTGTACACAACTGTGGTGCACACCTTGCAGTCTGCATAGCTTTCGTTGAGGACTTTCTGCTAATTTTTGTGGGGGGTCGGGTTATTCCTGCGTTGAGTGCTTTCATTCCCGTCGCTCGAGATGCCCACCGAAAGTCAGCGGGCAGTGTTGCGCGACGGTTTTTCCGGCGGACCGCACGGTGTCGGTACGCTGAGAGATTTTTTTCTTCGTTTCAGTTTCTCAAAATACCCCGGATTTTTCCAGGTGACCCGAACGACACGCGACTTCGTAATGTGGAGAAGGAAATACTCATTCCGCAGAAGATGCGAGACAAGGCCAGGGACGAGAAATGCAGCGATTTAGTTGCCGGTAAGTTCGTCTGTTCGCTTTCTGGCTTTGCTCGTCAGAATGCTCGACTGCTGGCATGTGTTGAGGCCGGCCCACACATTTGAGCTTGACGGTGATCGAGAGTTGCAGCCACTCGTCGATGCATACGACGAGAGAAGTCGCGAGCAAGCCGACGAGGTAGCCCTGGAACAGATTTCCCACGATCGTGCGCATCATCGGTGAATACTTTCTCGCGGAGAGACCGTTCCTCATGGATGGTGTGCAGATTTGATCTCGCAAATCAGGAAGGCGGGTCCAGCCCCTCCCAAAAAGCCCTCTGCCCACTTTAGCAGATCGAACGCCGTAGAGGAGTCGTTCGCTCCGATGGAAAGAGTGGACGTCTTGGTGGTCCAGCTTAACTTGCAGCAGGGCAGTACGCGGGTCTGAAGTGTTCCTGCGCTAGCTGGCAGATGGCGCCAGTCTGTTTTTAAGAGAGGGCGCAACTCGGACCATGGAAAGCGCTTTCAGTTTAACCCTTTCACGGTCGAGTTTCCAAAAGATGTTTCCCAGTGGTGTGACGTTGTTTCCAGAGTAATGGCATAAGCGAAGGGTCAGTGCAATTGTTTTTTTACTTAATTATCTAGAGGGAGCACATACGTCCTGCAGGTTTAGAAGCATGAAACAGCAATTGAAAGGGTTGTCACCTCTCTTTCATTCAGTTTTATTGTAACTCGTCTGCTTCTGCAATGTTCAGATTGCAAGTTGAAGGTTCTCTAGGGAGCTTCTGCGTCGTATGGTGAGCTCTAGAGATGCCGCAAACGTTTTGCGAACCTGAGGTTCAGAGATCGAATCAAGGGGTTTGAAAGATGCGCAAAGTTTCGGAACGTCAAACCTGTTACAAAAAAAATTCTATGATTTTTGAACTTCCAAATTTTTCCTGCTGAAATTTCAATTGTTTTCGATCTTTCGATTTTTCGCGCTGTGAAATTCAACATTTTTATACTTTCGAGCTTATCAGCTAAAATATTCAATGATTTGCAAACTTTCTAACCTGTAAAGTTCAAAAGTTCGACGAAGTGCAAACCAAGTTCACCCCTATTAGCCCCGAGAGCGAACACAAGCGTCGCTGCGGTCGCCGCGCCCTGATTGGGTGAGGTGTACCGTGACGTCAGGGGGAGTACTCCGCTCCGCGATCTCGCATCGGTTCGCTTCCCAGCACCGGTTTCCTGGTCTGGCGTTGTGTGCCGCAAGCTCTTCGTGGAGTTGGACTTCATTTACCCGGTGTACAAGACGTTGAGTTAGGCCGATATTGACGTGCTTCCGTACATTTTATAAGCCTGCTTGTCCCTTTTACTTTTAAAATTGGGTTAAAAATCCCGAAAGCAATCGGCGGAGGCAATTCCGCCAATGAACCTCCCCGTCCGTCCACACGGACGGGGAGGCTCATATCATACAAGGCAATCTTGCGAGGGGTCGGTGAAGCGGAGGCGCAAGTGTTTCAGACGCTGGAATTCTGTTCCTTGCATGTTCATGATTTAGGACGATATTACATACCGCTTTCAAGGCATTTGAAGTGGCATTTATATCATGGGCCTTTGGGTGGTCGGCAAATTAGCTCGCGACCCCGACTTTGCGCTGCCACTCTGCATGCGCTGGTTCGCAGATTTTTTAAAGGCCCCGTGTCTGATTATCTTTGAAGTGCTCGTGGAACAGGGCTGTTTTACATAAATGTAGTTTTATGAATTAATTATATATATATATACGTATGCAGGCATATTTCTTAGAAGATGCCTAATTACTGCAAATTATTTTGTATGGTAGCAGCAAAAACGGCCGAATCGCCCCTAGTTGCCTGTATGATATGTATCGAACTGCCCAAAATATGCACAGCAATAGTGCCGTAATTTAAAATGTTTATACTTTTTTCCGGAAATTGTTTATTCAAGTCTTGGGTATCCGGAAAATACACCGTTTAGTCTGAATCGTCATTTACAATTAAAAGAGACACTGCTGCAGGTCCCCAAAAGCTTCCTCAGCCTCCAAACTCCCTACAGCTGGACTCTATGACAACAGAGGGAAACAGGAGTAAACGCAAGCATTCGAACGTCTGTCCAGTGGTAGATGCAGCACTAGTAGCAGAAAATGTGGAACCTGTGAAGGGCGACAGTCCGCGTGAGAAAAGCTTCTGGTATTTTAGCTTCAGGACAATTCGATTTAAGTAAAATATCAATTTTAGAGCCCAAGGGAGTAATAACGAGCTAGACACCTTCGCTTACGTTTTTTATACATTAGTTGAGGGTTGATATACCCTCAACTAATCGCCGAAGCAAGATGGCCGAAGCAGCTTTTCTGCTTCGGCGATCTTGTTTAAAAACAAAGATACAAAAAAATTGTATATACAACCTGCCACTTATTCAGACCATCAGCAGCATTTATTGTGCGAGATGTAAATCTACAGTGATGTTCCTGCAATTGTGGCCATAATTAATTTTTATATACCAGCTGTGATTCATGCGTTGCCTGCCCTGTCAACCATGCTTAAAATGTTGTTTGAAGTTTCGCCTGTAGCTACAGGCCATACCTCAATAAAGGCACATAAAAAAATTTACACTTCCTGCGAAAAACACGCCAAAAAAAAAAATAAATAGAGACGAGCGCGCCGACAGCTAGCGTCGTCACAGCCTCCACAGGGCGAGCGGGGCGAGCCGGGGAAAAATTGTCGCCGTGACGTCACCTCGGTTCGCCATAAGGGGGCGCCACGCGAACTTCTCGGGGCTAATAGGTTCGAGCCAGCAAATATAAATAATGTGAGATGTCTATGTGTGAAGCGGAGTTGAAATTGCACTTGACTCTTAGCTGATCGTGCCACAATTGACTCGCTTGCAGAACTGAGAATGATCACCTTGGGATGGCCTTGACCTTGCACCTTTTCCTTTCTACAAAGAGCCTCTCCTGCACACGACTCCCTAAATTACACCGAGGTAACCTGTGGGCCAACAGATCCCTGTTCTGCAGGCTTGATAGTCAACCGAGGTTCTTTGCTGCGAGCGTCCTTCATAACACTAGTTTTATTTCAACGCAAATCCCTCGATTTCCTCGAGCCAAAGAAAGGCGCGCGCGTGGAGCGCGACGCTGATGCGCTACAGTGAACGCTGAATTGGCACTTCATTACCATTAGTAACCGGCTGCATTTTAGAATGGCTAATATCTCCGTTCATCGAAGAACTTTCAGGCAGCCGCAATGGCTATGTTCCAAATCTTACCCGAGGAACCTGTCTTCTACATCAGCGGGTGATGCCACGTGACATTGCGAGTAAATGATCCGCGACTCGATTTTCGAATGATCGGGATACTCACCTGGATACTACGCGGCTTCGTCTTGAGCTTGGGCAAAAATGAAAAACAGCAGCAATGACAGAATATAGCAGACAACCCTTTTGATCATGGAGAAAGCACTCGAACAGGCTTTAGTGTTAATGACGACGCGGTGTTTTCTGAGGTGGCTCCTTTTGCTCGCCCTTCCTTTTGGGCTGTATATTGAGATCAAAATTACTTACTCTTTTCAGTTAGACATCAAAAATTTGTTTTTATTCATTAGCACGATCACTGTAAATCTAGTCCTGGTGGCTTAAACGCATATGTTCCACGCATCGTAATTTGCACCGATTACGTTTTGCAGGAATTGCTTCTACACGGTGTAGCGGTACAGCGCACGGTGCTTTCTCAAGAGTGATATGTAACGTTCGCTTTGATGCGAAATATGATTACAATGAAATCTTCAAAGCCTTCACTGCTTTACAGGCGTTATTTTCTCATTACACACACTCTGGGGGAAACAAAAATACAACCTCATCATTTACTGCGTTCAAACATTTTCAGCCTTCAACGTGAGAATACGGCATTCCCGACGAGGATGCGGAGAAGCTCCTGTTTATGCTCGCACTATGATAATAACGACAGGTATACCCTCTCGGTGAAGGTGCACGGTCTGGATGTGGTACAGTCAATTCCTGCGTTGAAAACAGCAAATCACAATAACCACTCTCTTCCCCCGTCTTTCTTCTTGGACCAAGTTTCCCCGCTTTTACCGCAGTCTCGGGATTTCTACATCATGATAAATGGCTGTACCTCATTCTTCGTTATTTCGAACGTCCGCCGCCAAAGCCAATGGAGCAAGCAAGCTTTTTACGGCTCTTGCAGAAAGCAGACGACGAACTGATCACGTGACGTATTTACTCTGATCCAGCTTTACCCCCTGATCGAGGAGGGTAGCGTGAATGATTACTGCGGAGTAAACAACCCGCTTCTGGAACGCGAATTCTGCCGTCATCAAGTAAGTTTGGAATGCCGCGGTACAAAACCTTTCCTCTGGAGTCAAATGGAGTTAATTTTGGAATGCAGCCAATATGGGTAGCCGGATAACAACCGGTCTTGACCTGATCAGCTGTATTTGGTCCCCTACTCTAGTCTGGTTGCATTCTCCCCAACCTTAATGACCTGTGTCGGGTGCTGTGCCTATGTTCAGTGGGTTATCCCACCGAAAAGAAACTCCCAGAGCAACTAAACATTTTCGGGAAGCCTGGGTGTGGCTATGTGCGTGCATTGTCCCGTGTATTTAGTTGTCTTATACCAGCATTGCATTTAGGCAGCGTTTGATTGGATTGCTACTATAGCCAGTGACAAGTGAAGAATGAAGTGGAAGCTCCTGCCAGCCCTTTCCGCTTCGGTGGAGGGGAGGCCTCTCCACCGTTCGCTCCGCTGTAGTGGCTGGGAGGAGCTCCCACTTCGTTCTTGACCTGTCACCGGCTATAGCTTGCAAATAAGTAAGAAGTATGTTCACCTGACCGCCTCGGGGCTCTTTGATTAACCGCTCAACCAGTTCAACGCTTGTTTCGTACAAGTTATGACTAATGATGTGTAATACGGGTAGTATTGTCAGTACCACACAGTGTTGGCGGTAATCCATTACAAGTAACGGCGCTACCGGTAGTGCGTTACCTTTTCTGGTTATGTTTTGACATACTCTTTACATTTTTAAAACGGTAATGGGTAACATACTTGGGTTACTTATTTCGAGTGACGTGTGACAGTTACTTCGCTCGTTACATATTCTTCCCAAGATTTAAAAGTTACACTTGAATTTTTTGTGTTTCTGAGCGCCAAGTCATATAAACTTTTTTTTTTGCATCTCTTTTTTTAGTATTTGGCTGAACCCGTAGAAAAGATAAAGTAAATATGTTCAGTTTCTGGATGAACATAATGTTTCTTGAAATATGGTGCTTATGCATACCTTGTGGAGATACCTATGGTCTCCCTTCCCCGATGGCTGTGATAACGGCCGCGGGTCGGAATACTCGGCCTCCTTTAGCTCGGACCTGTTCGTGAAGCGGAGGGCCGCCTGGCTTGGGGGGCCCTCCTCTCACTCTCGGGGGGACCGATTTCCATTCCCCCGCTCGGATGCGGATCACCGCTGACAGGCGAGGAGGTTTCGTCTCTTGTTTTCCCGCTCTCGGGAAAGGGACTCGTCCAGTGACCGCGAAAGTGATAGGACGTGCGTCGGCGACTTCTCCGATGCTTCCCCCGTCTCGGCTCTTCGGAACCCCGCATCTGGCAGGTAAGGACCTTTTCTTACCATGCCGGCGCGGGGGGCATTTTGGATTGGGGCATTGTACTTCACTTTGAGAGTGCTTTAATAAATGCTCTTGGACTCTGTCACTACTCTGGTACATGTGTCTTCTCTTCCCCTATATTCGAGAGAGTGAGACAAGGTAGTCGATCATTGGCGCCGACGGAGGTAATTTATCGAACCGACCCGTGGCAGTGTCGCCCTAAACGTCGTCTACATTGCTGCGGAGATGTGGGGACTGCGCTACTAGGTTGGACGGCTCCTTTGAGATTGCCGCCGCTGTTGAGACAACCCTTTGGTTACTCTTTCGGTCCCCACATCACCGCGGCAATAAGACAAACGTTTAGGGCTACATTGCCACGGGTCGGTTCGATAAATTACCTCCGTCGGCGCCAATGATCGACTACCTTGTCTCACTCTCCCGAATATAGGGGAAGAGAAGACACACGTACCCGAGTAAGGACAGAGTCCACGAGCATTTATTAGAGCACTCTCAAAGTGAACTAGAATGCCCCAATCCAAAATGCCCCCCGCGCCGGCAAGGTAAGAACCTGCCAGACGCAAGGAGAGCCAAGACGGGGGAAGCGTCGGAGAAGTCGCTGACATACGTCTTATCTCTTTCGCGGTCACCCGGACGAGTCCCTTTCCCGAAAGTGGGAATACAAGAAGCGAAACCTCCTCGCCTGTCAGCAGTGATCCGCATCCGAGCGGGGGAACGGAAATCGGTCCCCCCGGGAGAGAGTGAGAGCCCCCAAGCCAGGTGGCCCTCTGCCTCATGAACAGGTCAGGGCAAAGGAGGCCGAGTGTTCCGACCCGCGGCCGTTATCACAGCCATCAGGGAAGGGAGATCGCAGGAATCCCCACAACCTGTAACAACAAAAGATTAAAGCATGTTAATTCATAATTTTAAGAGTACCGTGCGTTACTTTCTAGTGGTAACGATAACACATTTTTTTACTTGCAACATATCTCATTACTTTTTTTTCGGTAACGCGTACAATACGGGTACCATTTACCCGTATTGTAGGCGCAAAAATTCGTGAAAACTTGGTTTAAAGCTGCAGAATTTGATCTCCATCCGTGAATCTAAGAATTCAAACTTAAAATTGAAAGTTCCGAAATGTTAAAAAAATTTTTTTGAGATATTCATATTTTATAATTTATTTGCTATTGCGCGCATCAGATGCTGCCAGGCCGTTCGTACCGCATGTTTTCCCCCTAAAACAAGGCCACACTAGGAATTACTGTTTTGCTTGTATAATAAGCTTTTACAGTAAAACTCAGTGCAGAAAACAAGAAAACATGTTTATTTACATGCTTAAGTGGTTCGTTCAAGTCTATAAATCACTAGGCCCTCGCAGATTCTTCCTCGTATAAAAGATCTTGAAGCACTCCATTCTGGCTCGCTGACGCGTCGCACAACCAGCGCGCTCTTGCTGTGATTCAGACTCAGAACTGCTGTCGGAATCTCTCCCATCGTCGACAAAAGGCTCCGAAAACTCACTACCCTCACCAGTCGTCCCGTCATCGTCGCTGTCAAAGAAGATATCTATGATTTCATCGTCAGAAAGGCCACACTGTTCACTGGACGCTGCCATCTCCAAGCAGGCAGCGATCGAGCGGGAAAGACAACACATAACAGAAAAAGCTCAAACAAACACAGTGAATAGAACAACCCTCGTCATCTGTTGGCAATGTGTCTAACTACACTACCCCAACTCTACGTAGCGTGCCGTCGATGAATGGCTCTTTAAAACAGAAATTCATGCAGACCGGCGAATCGCCGGCATTGGCAAAATGGCCTCTGACAGCATGCCCGGCGATTCGCCAGCTTTGCTGCCGAATGGGTTAAAGTTAAATCGTAAATAAATTTGAAATGTTTAAATTTTTCTAACAGTCTGTCAAAAAAATTTGATATCTTCGAACTTGAACTTTCGAAAAACCTCGACAATTTCGAATTATTCGAATTTGAACCTCAGCGGGGTTCTAAAGTTGCGAAGTTTTCAAATTCGAGCCTGAGCAAGGTTAGAAATTTTCTAACCTCTCGAGCTCAAACTTTGGGAGGTTGGCAGCGTCCCTAGTAAGCTCTCGTCCTCGGAATTCAATTCTGACGAGCATTCCAAGTGTGAATCAGAAGAGCCAGCGCTCTGATCGCCGCCAGAGCAGTCGACACGGGGACGTAAAGAGGGGAACAGAATGCAACAAATCCTGGGCATTGACAATGACGGTCTCGAGAGGGAGAGCGACAGAAGAGCGGAGAAAGGTTAGGCGTTTTGCCGCAACGAGTTTAACTTGCTCGAGCGCTTGTCAACTTTGTTTAGTTGTGTACAATGCGAGATTCTGGTGTTTTTCTGCAAAGTAAAATAGAAGAGAGCAAGGACCTTACGGGTGATGTCTTGCTCCTTCTTCGTGCATATTAAGGCATTGCCATATGGGCCCTTCGGGATCGTCAGCTGGGGGTTTCCGATGTCTGCGTGTATGCCCTGCCGCTTCGTGGTGGCCCCAATGCATGGCGCCTTTTTCTCTAGGTTATTATATTGACTCTATGCAAGCGAAGCGACCGTCTTGCCCATATCAGGTGTGTGGAGCGTCTAAATTCAGACCTACATATAGCCCCAGGCTATATATTGGTCCGAATTAAAACATAGTGCGAGTATAACATTTATAGTTTGCCAAAAACACAACGAATAGCAACACCTCCCGCTGTGCATGCGGTTTTGGAATTGGGCAGGCAGTTTCAAATGATTAATGTTCTCCGTACATGTCCGGCAACGACCGCTAAAAGGTCAACGGTAGACACGCCATGTGCAGATTGGTTGCAAGTGCACATGCTTTGCATTGTCGCGTGACGAGGAGGAAAACAGGCAAATATGCTTTTGTCGCTTCTTTGCAGCTTGCATTGCAAACACAGCCCATAGACCACGTAGCAGCAGTTGGCTCCCTAGTGTTCTCTCGTTGTCAGCAGTCTGAAACGGTTGCAATGCAGTTGTTCATACTCAAACAGCAATCTGTGAACCACCCTTAATGTTCTTGTTCTACCTCCAACTGCAGAGTTTGGTGTGTGCTGCAAGAAGCAAGGACTGCTGCTGCCTTTTTTGTGTCGCAAGGAGAACAATGCCCTCAAGGCGTGCCTTAAGAAGTGGTGAGTCGATCTGATCCAATCCAAATTTGATAAATAACTGCAGAAAAGATTGCAGTGACTGACCGAAGATTCAACAACATAAATAAAGGACCGACCAACTTAAAGACATGAATCATATGCACTCCCAAATTGTCCGAGATATGCTCTGCAAATCTTTACGGGTGTTTTTATCCTCGACAGGCACGTCTAGAAGTGATTTGTGACAGCCTTAAACAAAGTTTTAATATTGGAGCTGATTTAAATAACTATGTGTTCCTGACGTATATAACTTCTCAGTCTGTGATTGCCTCTTTTATGTGATGAGCAGCAATTTTTTCTGCCTGTGGGCTGGACAAAAACAAAGTGCACAGGGGTGCGTGGGGGAACTATGACCATTATGTTACCATCAGGAAGTGACCAGTTCGGGTATAGAGCATCAAATACTACCTTGTTCTATTTAGCAAAACATCAATGAGCAAGGGTGATGCTTACTTGCAAAATTGAATTGACCGGCATCTTGTCAAGAGAAAACCTCAAAAGCCAGGCTACGCCAGTTTTTTTTCAATAAGAAAATGGTTGCTTGCGTACGTGCTGTTTTAGGCCAGATTCTATCTGAATATGAAGGTGCGTATAGATTAGAGGGAACAATTGTGATCAGTCCTTTCTTCATGATTCTTGGCCTGCATCATGATGCTGAGTGGAAAGAATGTTGGTTAGGAAATCAAGCCTCGTGATTTCCTTCCAGTGTTCCTATAAAAGGTAGACTGAAAGGGCTTGCTCTAAAACTTGCGTGGCACTTTGAAAATATTATTGGGTTTAGCTCAATTGCATCATATATATTGTGAAACATATTTCGTAAACTATTTCCCTATACATACGGCGACGAGGTGCCCATTCTGCGATTACATACGCTGTAATTAATTTCTTCTTTCAAGAGCACAACCGCCATTCAACTTCTATTACTGCGACGTAAAGTTGTACCAATGACGGACGGGTATTTTAGGCGTCCCATTGCACTTTATGACAACCTTTCTATTCAAGTAAAATATATGTGACTGAGGTAGACAAATTAATGTTGTGTCATATAAACATGACGCTTGCTATGTTAATCTAGACTCTTTTACAGTTTCCTCGAAATTAAATAACGCTATTTTTTAGTATTGGTGCCTGAAAATAAAAGTGGATTGTACGAACGATAAAAACGTTCCATAATTGCTCGTTTCACGGCGGAAATAGTGCCTATTGCCAAAACAATGCGGAAAATATATTCTCAATTTAGCCGCTCAAAACCGGTTTGAACCATTATTTTTGCTTGCCGGAACTGAACCGAAAGCATTGAACCCGAACCGATAAAAATTTCGGTTCGACAATCTGGTTTGAGGGTTGCGGCGAGGGATTGAGGCAATGAAAACAAACCCCAACGACGTCGCACTGTGGTTCCGATAACCGCCACATGCAACCGCAGATCAAAAAAAAAAAAGAAATGTTTTTTCGTTCGCGGTATTTTGGGAGAAGGTGGAGCATTTTCTCTCGCTTGTACCAAGCTAGACAGTATAGAAAATACGAGCTACAAATTAACAATTAAATTGTTGCAGTGTCCTTTTCAAGGGCAGAAATTTAAAAAAAAAATGTGGTTTTAGAGATGTGGCATCAGAGACTTAGAGAGTCGCTGGATTATTGATAAAGATGTGCCGCAGGCGAATGGTTATCTGCAATGTTTTGAGTTGTGCATTGTTCAACACGAAGCATGAGCAGCCAGTTCTTATGTGGCAATGTTCTCCCCCAAAGGAAAAAGAAAATTTTAGTGGCTAACAGTGGGTTCTTGGGTTTGTGTGGGTCCCAACCGAGCACAAACTGGGGGGACCCATAAAGGTCATCCCAGATACCAACACCCATCTATCAGCCACCCACCCGACTGACCAGGGTCAATCCCACCGGATCAATGAAATGATACAGATTGAAGCGGGATGTTTTCCTTTTTTTCCTCGGGCAATACAAGACCCGAATTCACTCGGAAATGATATTGTTAAGCTTTCTTCAATCGGAAATTTTACTGGGGCAGTGAACGATGGGAAGAATGGGGCCTGTGGCGCCATCTCCGGTGTAGCGAGCAGAGGACACGCTCATCTGAAAGCAGACAACCGTCTGCTCCCAATGCCTATCAGGGATGGCGCCACAAGCCCAATTGTTGCTGTCGTCCTTCAAGACCCCGGTAGGTTTGCTGGTCTCATTTTGGACGAGAAGGGAACTATGCCTCGGAATTTCACTAGGTAAAATTCACCACTGAAGTATGCCTTTGGTGAAAGTTCTCAGTTGCCATGTGTAGGCGCCGATTTTTCGGGCAGATTTTAGAGCCAGCCTCGTCGTTTCTGACATTCTGTTTATGCTTTTATTCCTGTATTTCGCACCACTCCTCCTATGCCTTTCAGTCGAGAGCCACGGTAGGGCTAGACAAAAACAAATCAAATGGACTTTAGGCTACTTTCCGTTCCTTACCAATGAAAACTCTATGTGAACCCTCCGTGAGATTTTGCATGGAGGTCTTCTCGGCACCTGTGCCCAGGTACGACGATCCAGACTTCCGACAACTGTGCACGGAAGAGTACCTGGCCGACCGGAAGAGGTTCAGAGAAACTGGCGTTCGGACAAACCAGAAGCGGAAGGACAAGGTCATCTAGACCCCGGGTCTGCCGATGTCATCCCAGCAGAGGGCCGTCCGCTGTCGAGACGGAAGGTCAACCTTTGGGACGTTTGAATGATCGTCAGTCGTGTGTGCAGCCATGCCCAAAGTAGACTGATTTCCAGATGGTGTCTAGAGGGTTCCTTTGTCCAATGCTAATTTAAAGTGCGATAATGTTTCGTAGCATCTGGAGACAAAGTATGGTACTGTCTCTACAGGGACATTGATGTAGTCTGTTTTTGGTTGTTACAGGGACGCTGAAAGGATGTTTATGCTCGCCGAGGTTTTAGTTGTACATGACATGTGGGAGCCCAACTACCCAGAACACAGTTTGCGGCTCGAAATTTTTCTTTCTGCCTGGAAATCATGGATCAACAAGTGGCCAGATTGAGTCGCGGTCAGTCTCTTCTCCGTGGTCACGTGCCAGTTTCTATGGCTTAGACACAACCACCAAATATAATCAGTCGTGTGTCATTAAAGGCACACTGTCAATAATGAAAAAAATTAAAATATTGTTCCTCTTTTTTTCTGGATTCTAAAAAGCTGCAAATACATTGATTGAAAAAAAAAAAAAAAGCTGCACAATTACATGATTTCTGGCAACTCTCTCCTCCCTCTATATTCTTCCTTCCCAGCCCAATTTCGGTTTTGAGCAGTTGCATTTTTTTCTTTACTTTATCGAAAATATGCGTGACCCTGGAGCAAAATATTGATTGGGTAGTCTTCCGACACTAAATCGTCCAACAAAAAACTTTTTAAATTTGGGAAAGGGAGGGGGGGAGCTGACAGTGTCCCTTTAAAACTATGGTTCCGTGTCTTCACTAAATACCGGTAACTCCCAAGGTGGTGGTTTTATCAAGATTGGGTAAACCAAGAGACACTAAATTGAAGCCATCCTCGAATAAGAAAAACTCAAGCTTCAGAGAAAGAAGCATATATCTAGTTTTATTTTGCGTTGACCAAGAACACAGCCCGTACTGAACTGCCCCCAAGGTTGCTGCTTTTTTCGAGGACCACTCGTATATCTTGTTTCTTGCTCTCACGATGACCGAAACCATTTCCCAGAATTTGGGGGACATGCAGTCCCCTAAATGTCGAGGAATCCCCCGGGCACGTCCTCTTCAATGCGAGTCCTTGCAAGTGCAGATTGGTTTAATTGACCCCCAGAACAGACCATATGCAGAGTGTGTAGCAAAAATAAACCCTTCAGAAAATGCCCCCCCCCCATTCGAAGAAAAATAGAGCCCGAAAACGCAGAACCCTACTAGTGACGTGTGGCGGACATGTCCGAGACGATATCTACCAAGTTCTAAGCCTAGGGTCTGTCCTTTTCAGCCGTTATTGCCGGAAGAATTTAAAAGTATTTCCTAGGGCAGAGTTACCACTTAAAGTGGTTTGTAATATGGAAGGATGGGAGAACTCGGTCACACGTCTGCCTCGCAAAACGCTTTGAGAGAGTCACTTGAATTGTTTCCACGTTTGATCCCAAGCTCCAGTCTGTGCCCCAAGCCAGTTTCAAATGGACCACAATTTGTAAACCCTACATATATCAGCTAGGTATGACTCTAATCAATTTGTTTTTGTACCACAAGTTCCAGAAAGTTTTCAAAGAAACAAATTTTCAGATCAGCGACAACCAAAAGGTTTCTCAGTGGCCTCAAAGAACTAGGAACTTGTTGCTGTCATGTCTGTCCATCATCGTCCCATTAAGCTCTGTGAGGTTCAAACGGGCCTCTTCTTTCGAAGAGGACGGCTAAAATTAAGAACAGTCTCGGGTAGACGGTAACTCACGGAGTGTCCCATTCATGTTCGCCATCGTTGCACGTCCCGAAAAGTGCAGGATGTCTCTGGGGATCGTTCAAGCGTTGGCAGTACGATACAACTAGGGGTAGCCTGATGAAAGTGTGGTGTTTTAGTTTGGGTGCATGCTGTAAATAAAGGATGCTCGTGTTGCTAAACAGTGTCCCCATTTCTAGACATGTGTAGGTGATGTTTCTGGACGAGGATTGGAAAAGCTGCAACAGAGACTGATCCCAGCACTGTTTCGTTGGGATCAAAGTGCGACATGGATCCACACTGATTTCTATTCCTTTGTTTCCAGTTACTGCAGAAAGTGCACTTGAGTTTCCAAGTACCACATTTTCCAAATTATTGTTTGCACCTGGTCTCTGCAGAGAAAATTTTGGTTAGAAATAAGTTTTTCCTCAAATAGTCTGGACCCGACTAGCTGCCACGTAAGAACTTCTCGTACCCAGCACATCTTGACAAATTGCCCGCTTTATTAGCTCGCAAAGAATCTTGTACATAAATGATCATTAACATAATCACTCAAGAATGCTTCTACGCTAAGAAAGCTCGCTTTATTAAAACAAAGCATGCTGGAAAAAAACACAAAAAGACCTCGAATAGTCCACACTCATAGATAGTCCGCACCGGGTAAAATTTCAACTTTTAAATATGTATACTCCACGGACTACAGGCCAGAAAATGGTACATTAGCTAAACGGACAAAATACAAACGACAGTTAAGCGAAAGAAAACGCGCAACTACTAAGTGCAGTGGAAAGAAGAGCAGAATCTACGATTGATGTGGGTAGCTGGTTCCGGTCATTCGATACTCTAGAAATGAATGATGCGAAAAATGTGTTACGACGACTAAATGGGATGCCAACCTTACGACGACGACTGAGACACGCCGAAACAAATGATGCCAGATTCATTAGGCGATTTCCAAGTGCATAGTTATGGTGGAAAATTTAGTGAAAGAGACAAAAACTCGAGATTCTGCGACAATGCGAGGCTGGGAAGATGTGGACTGTCTTCCATCGATGTTCTACTAGCGGTGCGGTTATACTTGGCCAATATCAAACGTAGGGATTTCTGCCGGACGGATTCGAGCGAGTCAATAAGGCAAGTAGTACCGGGGTTCCAGATGGAAGCTGCATATTCAAGTTTCGATTGGGCCAATGTTTTATAGAGAAAAGCTTTATTGGGGCTAAAAAGAAGTTACATTTGAGATAACCAAGCGTGCGATTGGCGTTAGGAATCGCGTACCGACACGCTCGTTCCAGGAGATATTGGAAGTCAGTATCGCGCCCAGATATTGATACGAGTCTACAAGCTGAAATGCTGCATTTGGGTTATAAGCAATAGTAAAAGCAGGTTTAGAAGCCACGCACATTAATTTGCATTTATTGATATTTAATCCCACTGACCACAGCTCACACCGTTTAGTTGTAGAATTTAGATAAGGCTGCAATTGTTTTGAATCGAAAATTTGGTCAAGTCATTGGCAAACAATTTGATTGAGAAGGAAACAATAGCTGGCAAGTCATTAATGCAAATTAGAAAAAGTCACGGACCTAAGACTGGAGGAAACGGGTGCCAAAGGAAAGTTGATACTGTAGCAGGTTACAAACTGAGCATGATCCGTTAAAAACGCTGCCAGCCAGTTAATCGCGTTAAGATCAATGTTTAGTTCATAAAGAAGTCTCAGATACCTTGTCCGATGCCTTTGAAAAATCGAGGAATATGCAGTTCATCTGGAATCACAAGCATTATAGAAACCATTCGTACTACTAACCAACTGTTTCACGAGAGAACTTCTTTCTAAAACCATGTTGAGCTATGGAGAAAAATGAGGTTGATTGAGGGATGTTTACAAGTTGCGAGTAAATTATGTGTTCAAAAACCACCTCACAAGGAATGCAGTTAACGAGAGCTTTAAACAGAGGCATTACCTTTTTCCTTTTTCAGTCATTAGATAAAACTGCAGACTCGAGCGACTGTTGAAATATATGTGCAAGTATTTTGGAAGTGTATTGATTTGTTGCTTTTAGAAATTTTATTTATTTTGTCCGTTCCAGTGGATAAAAACAGCTTAAAGCTGCGTGGAATTTTTGAAACACCAGCAGGGTTGATAAAAAATATAATCCATTAATGAAAAAAACATTAGCGTGATAAGGTGGATTTGTACTACTGTGGAGATTGGAAAAACACTCGATGAAAACTTATTTAAAGATTCAAGCGCACAAAGATTCTTCAACGTGAAATTCAGCTACAGTCTTGAGTGGAACGAGAGATAGCTTATCGCAGCCAGACAACACTCCAAAACTAGAGCATTATTTAGTAACATTGATGGCAAGGTCTGCTTAAAGAAACTAAGCTTAGGTAGTGTTTTTATCTCATCAAGACGTACATGGTTCGAATGCCAAAAGCGCCGCTGCTTCTTCCGACAACCAAATATTGTAAGAACTACTTTATGCGGCGTATGAACAATGCGCAAAACTTCCTTTTCCCTTGCGGTGAACACGAGTCTAGTTGCTGATAAGCATGAGTATACCCTTCTCAAAATTCGGTGCCTTGTGGTGGCTCAAATGTCCATCCTCTTGCCGTACCACTGGTGGTTAGGAAAGTGCATTACATCGAGCGTCGTCGCATTTGCACCCCGATGGCAAATGAGAAGGGGTGTTTCACCTTGGAATTCCTTCTCAATTTGCATGAACAAAAAAAACTGGACCAACACATTGGTAAAATTTTTGACAAGTTCAAAATAAATGCTAACGCAGCACTGGTATTCAATTTGTGCGTCATAGTAACGTCTCGAGCGTTCGGGATTCATGGCTTCCACTGTGCAGCACCTTTACATTCTTGCTTCATCAGCCACCAGAAGGCTGCCGCTACTGGGCCATACGTTTGGATGATGAGAGTGATCAAAGAGGCCCGACTGAATTGTAGCAGAGAGGTTATAATAAATCTGCAATACCTAAAACATAAATGCAGCCTTAGCATGGAGGAACCTGTTCATGGACAAGAGAGCAGAAATATACCAAATGCTCCAACGAAGAAGTAGTAAACAAAAGGGAACAGTAAGGTCTAGATCTACTTCAACCTCTTTTGCCTCCTTAAAAAAGGCAAGTTTTTCACCACCCTTGCGTGAAAGGCACTAGCATTAGCAATGCAAGTCTCGCTTCTCCAAGGACTAGGTAGTCTTTATTGCGATCCTCAGCCCATTAAAATGATATGCTACAACCTACGACTCTTCCCGTCCGTATATTGTCCGTAGTTTCCAGGCGTTTGTCGTCTTCCCGTTGTGACCATCCGAGGGTGTCCGTTGCCAAAGACACCGAGCAAGCTGCAAAAACAAAAGAGCCGCATTTAAGGGGGGACACCACGTTAAAGTGACAAATTTCGGAAAAAAAATGACTCATTTTTATGTATGGTGGTTCAACAACTATATAGTGCACACTTCTGCAAATTATTATTGCGATATATTCTTTTGTAAAGAACATTTCTTCCCAGTACATTAAAGAGGCACAGACACATCAAAATCATACTTTTTTTTATAATCCGAAACGAATGAAAACATTGCTGGGACATAACCCTCAAAATTCGAGATTCGGGAATTCAGTATTTGTGGAGTAAAAAAACAATTTCCAAATGCAGGGTTTGAAGTTCCCGCGCCAGTGCAGCGACGTCAAATTTTGCGGTCTCGTGCGAGCCGACTTTCTTTGGCCCCTCCGCTCCCCGCTACAAAGCAAAGCCCCGTTGCCACCAGGACCCCAAGCGAGGAACGGGGGGGACGAGGGCGCCGGCGGGAACCCGTTCCTTCGTCCGGTTCCGCGACTCGCCGATGATCCTCTGCTCGAGCGCCGCCCAGTTTTCCGAGGGAGGACACAAATCCAGGACGCGACATCACAACGGACTCCAATTTTTGGTATTTCAAAAAGAAGGGCCATAGTGCATTCGCAATTGCGTTAAAAAACATGTTTTACGATTGCCGTTATTAAATGTCATAGAAATGTCGCCTACAAAGCTTCTACATTTCATGATTCCTGACGTCGCAAATCAAAAGAAGCGAGGAGGCAAAAAGCGGGAGAAGAGAGCGCCACAAATAAAAAGCCGCACGCGCGAAAATGTTTTTCGCGATGCGGATTCTTTTGTGTGTCTATGACTACAATTTGCATCGTTTTGACAATAAACAAAATATGACCTTTGGGGTGTCGGTGCTCCTTTAAACATTATTGTTTGAGAGTGGACACTAATTGGTCAAGAACACTATACATGTCCTCCCATGGAAGAGGCTATGCACATGGCCAATGGAAAAAAACACCCCGATTGAACAGAAAACTAAAACCAACATTCGTTTATAGAAAATCACTGGGGTTCATCTGCTTTGTATTTCGTCCAAGCTTGCCCCACCCCTAATTGCTGGCACTGGTTTGTGTATTGCAAGCATATCCACTGGGATCATCTGGCACTCCACTGGGCGTGCCTAAAGTCACTCAATCCTGGGAAAGCAACGCCTAGCTCCCCGTGTGGTCGCCACCTTGGTCCGTGAAATGAGCAATTTCTCCTTGACCCCTCCGTTCTTGGTGAGCCGATCTAGATTCGCTGGTGACGGGTAGCTTTATGCAGTGGTGTTTTGTATACCGAGATTTCGCCAACCACACACCCGCAAAACAAATCTTCGTACCACCACCAGATACTGTGTCGGTGCTTGGAGGCACCGAAAAATAAGTTTACTGTCTTGAAATAAGCAAGAAGAACAATATAATTGTAAGAGATCCATGGAGATGGGCCTGAACAATAAGTTGATCGCATAGGAAGTGCCAAAGACTCTTATATTGGCGAGGAACGCCTCCAGTACAATGATGCTCCATGGTAACCTTGGCGCGACTGGTTTAGAACAACCCTCTAGAAGCTTTGAAGATTTCAATGGACCAAGATGGCGATTTCCATGGCAACGTAGACCAATCAGCCAATCACCCTGCTAGGTTTGGGTCGCCTGTATGTTCGTATGTGTTTGTGTCCGGCTAGCAGGTAGGGAAGGCAATGGCGCTACTTTCCCAGGATCCAGTGACTTTAGGCGTGCCAGAGGCCCGTCCTGAAACGTCATACAGTGCACTTGGGCAATGAAATGAATGGACCCTTTAAAATTCATCAATATTGAGCAACTGGTTTCAAAGTCAACAGCTGAAGGTGGTGTCACTCCTGAAACTTCCCCGTTCCCAAACCGCATTGACGGCATTAACCTCACTCGCACATTTGCCGGGAAATGACCGCGGTAGCGGCTCTTCGGTAAAGTAGATTTACGGGGACGTTTTAATGCATCAGTATCTTTATTAGATATACCGTATTTACTCGAATCTAGGCCGATAGTTTTTATAAAAAAAACAAAAATCGGAACTCGGGGGTCAGCTTAGAAACGAGGATGCAGTTCCCGCCTACACCATTTCGCGGCAATGCCAGCTACCGAAACCAAAACTGCCATGAGGCGCATGAGGCGCAACATGAGGCGCAATATAGTACAAAACTAATCTAAAATTAGAACTGCATCTTTTTACAAGTGCAACAAACATGAACGAATTGTCACTTTATTCCTACATTTTTTTAGCATCTCGTATAAAGGGTCAAAGAGCAAAAACTAATTTTCTGAATGGCCCCAACAACACCAGTCTAAGGTGAAGGCTTTGTTTACAACAGAGCGACATCCCAGACAAAGGACTAACAGACTTGGGCCGAGGTGTGTTTAAGGAAAAGGCCGTTACCTCAGTGCAACCGATTCCAGGGGGACAGTCCAAAGGACCTGTAAAGAAAGACGGCACAAAGTCAGAAAGGCCACGAGCACCTCGAGCTACAACGAGTAATCAAAGAGTTACCCCCTCCGTGTCTCCACGTATTCTCAGTCTCGGTTGCCGCCCACACGGCTGGGTTGGACAGCAACCTTTCGTACGGCCGTCGCTTAAAAGCAACGGGATTTTTTTCGAGCCGCGTGCAGGCGCGATCGCATCGACCCTTCCAGTATTGCCCGAACTCCCCTGCACAACTGTTCCAACCAATGGAATGGAAACGGCGTGCCAATGTGCCCATGCGAAATAACTGCAGTGCGCCGACTGAAAGACTTGGGACAAATAAACGCTCGTTTATAGAAAGTTGTTTTTTGAGAAGAGGTGCTCTGCATACGTCCTTTGCCCCTTTACATTTCGCATGTCGTCTGCCATCTCCGACACTTCTGTGAGCCAAGTAGTGACTACAAGTGCGGCCAACTTGGTAACTTGGGTGCTCTGCAGTATCTGCGAGCAAAGGGAACCCTCGAAGGTAATAGCAGCAGCTTATTCTGGCCAGTCCTTTGCCCCCTTGGAGTGCCACACCCGAGTATACTCGGGCACATGTTATCTCGGTTTCTGTTTGTTCCCTGCCCCTCCCAACTAAGTTATTGCCATTTTTTTTTCTTGCATAGAGGAATACGAGCAAGCGATGAAAATTCATTTTGAGGGTAGGCCATTTCCTTTTGTTGAGGCAACCTCCGTTTCGGTGGCTTCCTTCGTCGTTACAGGATGGCAAATATATGCTGTTGAACCTCTCACTTCGTGGCAAACACCGAGACAGAGACTCGGTAATGAACTCGGTATTTGACGACTGCGAAATTAAACAAGCTGTAGTTCGGAGTAAACAAAGACAAAGTAAGGTGGTTCAAAGGACTGACCTCGGGGTGAGAATTCCAGGTGCCACTGATAGTACCGTGTGTCGAAAATATGTAATAAATTGCGGGCGTGCAGACATCAATTGACTTATGGCCCATAATATAGGCTTTGTATAAATAAATATTTTTCACGGAGTATGTTACAGTGCTACCGAGACAAAAATATGTGTTCAACATGCAGGAGAAAAAACGAAAAAAAAACACACACACTTAAAGGGGCAGTGAAACAACTCTTTCACTTTTAGTAAATATTACTTAAATTTTATACTTGACATTCCTGAAGGATTAAACTCGCATTCGTCTCTCCATGCAATAACTAACGCAGAAAAAAAAAGAGCTACATTTTTTTTTTTTAAATTTTCAGTTAGTAATGCAGTGCCAATTATGTTCCACCAATGTTCATTATATAGCTGTACGCTGTAGTTGAAAAAGCACAGTGCTGAGCTACAGATGATGTTAGGGCTTGGCTAGCCCCAGCATTGCAGTGAATCGACACGAGCCACTGTCCGAACTCTCGTCAACAGCTGTTACGAGCCCAATAATTGAGTGCACATGCAGTGTCCAACCCGTGGGTTGCATCTGGAGTAATTCTTGCGCCCACGTCTGCATTGCAACAGACATTCTGCTACATCACCCAAGCACCAAAGAGAATTATGGGGACATGCACGCACTCCCCTTCCTTCTTATAAAAGGTTCCGAGTATAAATAACCAAAATAAGGCGTCGATGAATGTGCCCTTCAGGTGCCACTCGTTTAATATTCTTGCTTTTGAACAGTTACTGGAGCAGACGCCAGCACGTGCAGCGAGTGTACCTACGGCTTTTTGATGTTTGGGTAATTCGGCAAAAGGTACGACCATGCAATCGAGTTTTGTGAGACTGAAACAAAAAGTTTGCTTTTATCCTTTAAAGTATACATTGCCAAGGAAACTCGTCAGCCGGCAGCATTGCGTAGCATTCCAACCTGGTATTGATGCGAGGCCCCTTTACCTGCAGAGTCTAGAGCGGAACACTAGAACCCAGACGCTGCACGGAGTGGCACTTGATGTGGCCTCACTCCGATGAAACGACTCGGATTTCTAACGGCCTCGTCCACAACACGGTGCCCAGCAAAACAATGGCAACCCAGAACTGGGTTTCCATGGTTTAATCTTCTTGGAACTTGGAAGCGTTTTGCTGGCATCCATCTTTTCACATAGATTCAGTGTATCTTGGTGCCTATTCTCTATGTCAAGCAAGAAATTGGCATTTGTTGGGGCTTATGTTGGGAAAAAGAAACAGGACACAAGCACGAGGTTCTTCAACATCCAAGAAACGTGGGCATGAGTCGGATATTTGGAAAGTCTCCCGATGCCAATAAGCAAAAGAAATGATGCAGGTCCGAGGAAGCAGCAGCCTCGCCGACAGTTGCGGGGGCTCTGGGTGAACACGAAGCTCTTATAGAGTCTCCATCGGAATAGCTTGTCACACCTTTCACCTCCTAATTATATTCCTTAAAGATCACATCCACAAAATATGTGAGCTCTGTATCATGACACAACTAAGTAAAAGTTTTTTTTTTGGTAAAAGTATTAAGAAACGGATGGTGTGCCTCGTGCAACTGTTTGCGTTGCAAATGTGGAAACTTTATTTTTATGTGGAAACTTTATTTTTATGTTCGTTAGCCCCCCGCAATAAGCCTGATGCTGCTAGAAGTTCAGAATGAATCAATGAAATAGAGCGCCGTAGATAAAAATTTCTTCCCCGATGCTCAAGCTTTTTGTCGTTTGGGTTTTTCCGGTTTTCCCCGGCTTTGATCAAATGGCCTCGGGGGTTATTTTGGGGGGTTGAAACGGCAATTTTGTGCAGTTGGTTCGCAATCACCTAAGAAAGTGCCGAAAAAAGATGCGAGGGCGAGAATGTGGACGACACAGGGTGCACTCGCAACTGACGCTTGTTGGAAAGCCAATCGCTTATACTACGGCGGCAGCAAAATGCTGAGTCACAACTATTGTCGGTCGAGCCCTTGTTCCAAGAATGCACATTTCTAGGCCGACAAGGAAATGGACATATCACTCGTACATCGCGTGCACTCCTACGTTAAACTCCTCTTGCAGCTTGCTAAGCAGCCTATTAGGATACCTTGTCAAAACCTTAGCATCGATAAATGAAGGGGGCAGGTGGTCAAAGGCTACAATGGGTGGCCGAGATGTCCTCAAGTGTCCTCGTAGCCGTGGCGCATTCACGTGTGCTATCGTCGTAACAACTGCCCGTCTGGCCGACGTACGAAGACCTGCGCGACATAGGTATTCTATAGCAGGGTTGGGCAGAAATACTCAGAAATGTATTTGGAAATACAAATACTGGGATACATTTTAGGGAGGGCAGAAATACAAATACAGAAATACTGATAGTGCAATACATTTTCCAAATTTTTTTGAGACGCCAACTGAGATGAAGCTTGAAGTTTGAAGTGGGTGTTTTCGATCCCGAAATTACTTTCCCGTTGGCTTGGCACTTTGCCTTGAAGGTAGCGGTTTCGGACGACGAGGAGTCTTCAATGGGCCCAAAAAAAATACGTTCCATCAAGGGTTGACCACGGTCCGTTCCATGACATCCTGTCTGTCTGACGAGGGAATCCTGTCAAAATCGATCACACGATGTCACGGTGGAACGAACTAGTACTCTTTATCTGTAGGTGTGGCCTTGAACATGAAACTTTACCACGCTACTGTATGAATGGACAATACATACTTTCGTTGTAGGTTACCTACTTGAAAATCCTGCATGCAGTGTCATTTGGAATTTTTGAGAATAGTGGACCACCTGAAGCATCTTGGAATACATGTCTTATCTTCTGTTACGGTTGAAAAAACGATACGGTAGCATCCCTGTTATGAAGGTCCTTACTACCGACCCTCTGCCACCGACGCACGAATTGCAGTCCTCAAGTTTTGCCTAGCATTATTCAAACAGAGACCTCGTGGATTGCGAGCTGATATTGCCAGCACAGGTGCGAGCCATCCGAGAAACAGTGGTCTTGAGACTAGTCGCGGGAGTACGTAGTCTGGGATGGCACAGCGAGGCCACTTCTGGCCGCCTTCTGGGTTTCGGATCACCAGAGCAACGGGTCACGTTCACGTCGGCTGATGACGTACCCTTGAGCCGTGCAATGTTACGGGCGCAGCCGCAGACGCATATGTGTTATACTTCACAGCGTGTCTTCCTACTATTTCAAGTCAACCGCCGCCAGGCTCGTGCTGCAACGGAATGTGACTCAGCTTTGCCGGCTGGGTGTATTCTGTACGCTAAGGCGAGAGAGACGGTTAGCAGCGGGCATTGGATGCCAGCAAACAATGACTCAAGCAATCCCTACCTAAGGACCTGCGGCAGAAAATGCTCTGACTCCACTCCTGGCACGCCACCTGGTTCGAGTCCCCGACTACGCGACACTTCTCAGAAGAGAAAAGAGGACGCATAGAAAAATGGTTTGCAGAATCAAAAGGAACCTTGGACAGCATAGTAACAATGCCCCAGCATCTCCTTGACTCTGGTGCCCTCAGAAGTAAAAAAAAAAAAAAAAAGATGGGTTCGGACTTGTTCTTTTTTTTTTTTTTGGGGGGGGGGGGGGGGGGGGGGTATTTCTTAAGAAATGTAACGAAATACATTTCATCCCGATTGTATCGCGATACAAAGGAACATTCCAAATGTATTTCGATACAGGAATACAGATACTGGTGAAAAAAATGTATCGCGATACAGAAATACAGATACGGAATGTATTTCTGAAATACTATCGCGATACATTTGTATCGCGATACCACCCAACTCTGTTCTATAGACCACTCCCAAGCGCATTCTGCAAACCGTCTGCAGTGCAGCGCCCCGTATCGTACACTTTCTCGCCTTTTCAGCCAATTATTCTTCGCAGTACAACAAGAAGGCAAAACTGTGTGCGTGGCACCGTGCCCGGTGAACCAGGCAACCGAGGATGCACCCACTTCTCCCGGGCGTCGGCGAGGCCGGACACTGGGCAGCCGGCAATCTCGCAGTTCTTCTGGAAGGAGTGGGGTGCGTAGCGGTTGTACAGCCCCCAGATGCTGTTCATCAGCTTCGGGTTGTACTTGGCCAGGGTCGTCTCCACCGCTGTCGGGGAGGGAACACACGGTAGAGTTAATATGTGGTAATGATCGAGATAGAACGGCACCGTGCAATACGGCCACTTTGGAAAGGCGGACATTGGTGGCCCCCATGGAACCGCGATGCTGGTGACGCTTTGATATACACAAAAAAGCAGGAATACATCACTTGCAAGGTCTTTGTCTAGCTTTTTTCTGGCCTTTATCTCGCACAAAAACACAGGTATTGCGTCTCGATCAAAAATAAATAAAGATGAAAAGCACTCTAACAACTTCAACTTGTCCTAGCAAAACAATGTCCTTAACTACCGTAATATCCCGAGTCATCGCCCATCCCCGAGCCATCGCCCACCCCGTTTTTTGGGCCAATATCGATTTCCGAAAAAACACCGAGTCATCGCCCACCCCTTCAAATACCCCAACGCGGACTCCGCGATCCGCGAACACTCATCCTACCCGAATGAAGCGGCCGCGGACCTTACAGTTGGAGGACGTCCGTAACAAAGTAAAACGAAGGAGGGAAAGACACTTCTTTTTGTTTACGCATTTCCTCCGTGATCGACCCCAAAGTGGTCGTGTATCCGTGCGAAAAGAAAACGATGGAGATAACAAAATAAGAGTTTGTTAATGTAACCGCGGAGTGTTAGGTCAAAGTCTGTCTCCGCCGAAGTAAGGTTACCGCGAACCCGCTCCTTTTTCCCGCCCGTCGCGACCGCGGTTGTGCAATATTTTAGGCAAAGCCAAAGCGTAAATAAAGCTTCGCTGGAACGCCCTACACAGACGTTTGCAGAGCGTCCCAACCGTGCATTGATAGCCCGCCGTGCACGGACGCACGTATGTACGCACCAAACAAGAAAGTTGCGCAAGAGCTTGCAATTGACAAGGCCCGACTCGGCCCGACGCCAAAGTATTTGCCAACGCGACCGCCGGCTTTCCCGCTTTCCCAGCATCGCTCTTGGTCGCTTCTTTGGTCCGTCCGCTCGCTCGCTCGCTCGTTGCGCCTGGTCGGTTTTTCTATTTCGTTGTAAACTTTTCTATCTTTCTTTTTTTTTTTTTTTTTTTTTTTTTTACTAACTAGAAGAACATATTGGTGACGTTCTTTTACGGAACAAACGTTCGCGCTATATGCAGATCGGCGGTGTTTGCAAGCAACGGACTTCGCTATAGTAAAATATTCTTTCGTGAGCATTTTTTTCTATAAAACAATGAAACTAAATCGAGTTTTGAGTTTGATGTATCTCTTGTGCATCAGCGCTAGATACGCAGAGAAAAATAGGCAATTTTTTCCGCTTTTTTTCAAGTGTTTGTGCTCACCCACCGAGACATGGCCCACCCCACTTTTTTAACGAATTTCAGGCGGTAGGGGGGTGGGCGATGACTCGGGATATTACGTAGTGTCTGATTTCTTTCCCCGGTTGTTCGTCCTCGTTCTTGATCTCAAGATCACCAAAGGTCGGCGCCTACGGCTCGCCCCCTTCCTGCTCCCCTTTTGACCCCTCCAAAGTAAGAGGAGGCGGTCAAAGGATGCCGGTGTCCTCTGTTTTAGTGCCAATACGTAAGCCACGCTTATATAAAATCTGTACACCATTCCCCACAATGCACCCGTGAGTGTATCTTGGCAAAAGTAGGGTGTGCAAAAGTGAGCGTGCGAGACCTCACTTGCCGAGGTGATGCCAGCGGACACAACCAATCGACCGCTCGCGTCCCATTTACAAGTTTAAACAAAACACAAATGTTACTATGAACCACAAACTTGTTTCCTTTGCTCAAATTGTGGCATTTTGTGCGTGAAATAAAAGTTGTTTCTGTATCTTGGTGGCGTTACAACCGCAAGATGCTTCGGTTTTGTGTCGTGGCGGAGAAACGCTGTTTTAAAACTCTCTTGCATGGCGTTCACTAGAGCAAGCGCTAAATCTGGCACTAGCATATGCTAAAGCTGTGTACGTTACTCTAAAACTCCCTATTCTATCTTGAAACAAAAATATGGACTCTAGGAAACAGTGAGGCATTATTTTGGTCTTTATGAAGAAATTGAGCTAGTAACCAAATTTTTACAAAACGCACATTATGTGCAATTTTAAAGAAGCCAGTGTTTGAAACAAGAATATTGAACCCACTTCAAGGCCAGAACAAAAATTTTATTCTTTAGTATTTTACTGTATTCATTTAATTAAAAAAATTGCAATTTACCAGCAAAGACGTTATAAGCCATTTTTTCAACGAGATAAAATGCAGTTTCAATTTATTTCAGTATAACCTGTTTACGCTGTCATCACATCTCAACTTGTCTGAACTTGATGAAAAGCCAATGCTGCATATTAGCGTGAGCACAGGATGTGCTCATTGCTGAATTTCTGAGCCACTAAGGCTGGTTAACAGATTTGCACTTGAGTGTGCTTGAGTGCATCGCACAACCAGTTAACACACTCGCTTAACTGGTGCCATCTATCAGCAAGCTTGCAACAATTATCTATGACTTGTACAATTTCATACATTTTAACCATCATTCTTTCACTGTGGGCTCGAATTAATTGCGAGGGTGTTACAAGCGACTGTAGGTAGTGCGTAGGTCTAATCTCGCAAATACCGGAAAACGTTTGGTCTCATTACGTGTGGCCACACGTAGGTGGTGCCAGCGGGCTAGTGTCATCACCTCTTTATTCTTGCGCCCAAGAACAACAGTTGCCCGTAACGTAGCAAAGCGAGCGGTTACGAGGAGATGCGATGCACTCAAGCACACCGAAGAGCCCATGTGCGACCTTGACGCTGCTGCAGCCGTCCGACCAAGCGGCGGGGACTCACTGCTCGTGGGGGGTTCGAAGATGACGTTGACGTCCTTGGGCTGGTCCTCCGCCAGCCTCCTGTGGAGCTGGACGGCAGAGTGCATCGTGTACGGGATGGAGGACATGGCTGCACGGGAGGACGTCGGGAAGGAATCGTCAATCGCCGACGGAGAGGTCGCGCACGTGGAAAGGACCGACGGTAAACAAGAGGCCGTCAACTCGAGGCCACGTGCAAAACCCTTCAATACCCTAGTCAGTTGTGCGGGAACCCTTAACCGCAGTTAAGTCATGCTTAACTGCACTTATGCATAAGCCATAGTTACCACGCTATACTTTTGGACGACGTCCCGTGGCTATGCAGTCAAAGCTATAGGCACGCGCAATAATATGGAAAAAGAGCACCGGACACGCAGAATCTACGGGAAATGAGAGGTCGAGGGAAAAATTGCGCGACGGTCGCACGATGCAATGTGTTTAGGCGGCATCAGCTGTGCTGCTTATTCGACGATAAGCTGATGACGATCGATCGACGTTGCACCGATCGTGCGTCATACGGTGATCTGGTGTTGAAATGACGTTGCATTGTTTTAGCGTCGACACATTGATCAATAAATTACTTTAAGGCCCTAATGTGTTTTCCCGCCAAATTTAGCGGGTAGTCTGAATTTGCCTGTAGGTTCTGTGACGTCGGGTCCCGTGACATCAATTTTCCCACTAAATCTAGCGGGGAAACTGAATTGGTGCATACATGGAGTCAGTTTTTCCGCTTAGCGGGGTAACATTTCGTTTCTGCTCTGACCATCCAAAAACCGGGGAACGAGCCACTAACAGCTGACGCTAAAACAAAGACACATGCAAAGGAAAAAAACATTTTTCAAAAACAGCTTAGATAAAAAAAAAGATGTCATAAAACAATTTTACAACTAAGGAAAAAATTTTTAGAGCTATATTTATGGCCCTATACAAATTTGTAGTCGGCGCCCGCGGGCGCTGCGGATAGGTGCCTCTCATTTATCACGTGGCTGGTACATATTTGCCACGTGGAGCTTGCGCTCTTTCAGAAGCTTCCTACGGCCTCTAAAAGTTACTTATTCATCTTTGTTTCAATAAAAAAAAAACTAGGAGTAATAAGGAACTTTGAGAGCCCGAAGGAAACTCCTGAAAAAGCGCAAGCAGACGTGATAGACCTGTGTGTCGATCAGATGACGACAGTGGCGCCTCGAAGCAGACGAACTTGTGCGGCGGCGGCGGCGGCATGGAGAAACGCGTTGAAGCGGCGTCGTACAACGCTCAGCGTGCGGCAGCGTGACTTTGCGGCGGCGCACAGAACCTACCACGTGACCAGCAGTGGCTCCTGCGGGCGCCAACTCCGAATTCGTTTTGCGCCGTAAATATAGCTCTAAATTTTTTTTTCTTCATTGTAAATTTGTTTTGCAATATTCTTTTTCTATCTAGCCTGTTTCAAAAAAAAGTTTTTTCCTTTGCATGTGTCCCTTAAAGGGGCACTAAAGTGCTTTTTCAGACCCTCGTTTTATGGTCATGACTCAATCTACGAGCTCTAAGGATCCTGAAAAACCTGAAATTACATTCATGTGCAGCCGATTTGCATATTAAAAATGTGATCAAAGATGTCGACACTTACCTTTGGCGCAGAAAGACAGATGGCGCTACCAAACCTCACTGAACATGGTAGAATCACAGACGGCGCTTGTCAGCCACTCGCCAGCGACGAGCTCCCGCGTAAATGAGCGGCCGACCAGCTTCACTTCTCCACGCGGAAACCCATCGCTCACGAGTGGCTGACAAGCGCCGTCCGTCGTTCGACCATATTCAGCCAGGTTTGGTAGCGCCATGTGTCATTCTGCACCAAAGGTAAGTGTCGGCATCTTTGATCACATTTTTAATATGCAAATCTGCCGCGCATGAATGTAATTTTAGGTTTTTCAGGATGCTTAAAGCTCATAGGTTGAGTAATCATGACCCTAAAACGAGGATTGTAAAACACTTTAGTCCTCCTTTAACTGGCCATTCTTCGAACCACACTTTTTTTTTTTCAATTTTGGAGACTTCTTTCGCAATATGCAAGGCAATCAATACCTAAGCCTGGCAAAGTATTGCCATACAATCAATGTCGTTAAACTATTTCACTACTGAGATACAAACACATTTCTCAAATGCATCTTGACAGAGAGATAGAGATACTTGAAAGCCTCTTGAAAATATTTTTGCAATATATTTGTATCGCGATACTGCCCAGCTCTGCTTTAAAGGGGTACTCCGCCGATTTTTGAGCTACCTCAACTAACTATATTTTCTGACTCCCAGGCCTTTACCCTTTCTGGAATGCTATTTAATATCGTGAAATTCATAATAGTTATTGCGAAATCGGCAAATGAAAATGATGCAAAAACAGACATTCAAATACACCCGCCCTTTTCAGGGCCGTGACGTCAGTGGAAGTTCAGCTTGCCAGTCGGGCGAGCAGTCTAAAAAATAGAATATGCCAATTATTTGTTCCGTGCTGGAGCGCGGGGACTGGAGCGAGCTTCCAAGGCATTCATTTGACACCATGAAACTGCTTCAAATCAGTTGGGAACAAATTCTACAGTCCAAAGAGTGAACCCCTGCACTTCCAATGACGTCACTTTTTCATTGTTGCCAGTAGAGACTTTCAGTTTGAAAAACACGGTGAGGACCAAAATTGTAAATTCAATAACTTTGTGAAACAAAATTATTTTGACCTAATATTTGGGATACTATTTTGGCGATGTTGTTTGGCGAGTTTAGCAAAATTTCAAGCCAATCGGGGACCATGAAGAAATCGGCGGAGTACCCCTTTAAAGGGGCCATGAAACAATATCAGGTTGAAATGATCATGACTTTGAAGAGGCACACACTGGCCCAAGTTTACTCGCACGGACCGCAACTGATTCAGAAGCTTCTTTGGTGAAATTGCGAGGAGGAGAGGGGACTACTTCTTTCAGTCTTGCCTTCGCTAAGCTTCAGGATGCAATTGTGGAATTGAAACCACCCGCCTGACGACAGTCAAGTGCGGCTCATGGATTGCACACGAGAACTGTGCGAACATTCAACTTCGGCTCGTAGCAATCAATGCCTCGGCAAACGCTCGGGTAGCGGCTCAAGTACAACTACTGCAGTGATGAGAATAGCCAAACTTTAACGATGCCTGGAGCTCAGCATGCGTTTTCTACTTTGCCGACCCTAGCGCATGGCTACGATTAACGTTGGTGGCATAGGATAGGCATCAAGCCACGTGGCCGCTTGTTCTGGCTCCGACTTGAAGGGAGGAACGACGCTCATGTTTCTGGAATTTATTTGCCGACTGCCATTGCTTAGAAAGAAAAACTAAGGCAAGTTAATTCGGTTATTAATGTTAGGGATTGACTCTGAGCAGTATTTAGCGGAAGTAGAAATATCGTTTCACGGCTCCTTTCAAGCTACAATAATAAGAAAATCAATTGTCTTTATTTCACAACCCCATATACAGTTCTACCGGAAACTATAACGTCTGTTTGGTCCAGTGGATGCTTCAGCCAGCACGAGGTCACTCTGCAACGATATGTTGCCACTGGTTCGAGAAATTGAACCAGTGCGGTACAACCGACCCAGGGCCGTAACCAGAGGGGGGGTTAGGGGGTTCTGACCCCCCCCCGAAATTTTTTTCTGGGTACGGCCCTGGTCGGTGCACTGGCAGCCAGCCGATTTCAATCTCCACCTCTGCGCACGCGCAGTGGCGCCGGTCGGCTACCGGGTACCAAACCGGGACCGGTTCTCCGGTTTGCTGTAACTCTTCATTATATGCCACCGATGCACATGATTCATAGGCGAAAACAAGACAATAGACACTTCCAAAATGGCCGCCGTTGTCCCCGAAAACCCCCCCCGAAATTTTTTTTCTGGGTACGGCCCTGAACCGACCGCAAACCGGGGGTCTTTAACATGAACTACACAGTAGAGATTACTCGACCATACTCCGGTATGAAGCTCGTTTAGAGCGAAGCCGGAAGAGGGTGCTCATTTTTAGGACTTCAAAATGAAGACCTTTATAGGGCCACTTTCTCAGCATGGGTAGAAGAGTGAACACTGTGCTGAAGAATAACAATGTTTGTGAAGAATACAGTATAAACTTAAGGGATGCGTAAGCTTTGCCTTTAAAGGGAAGCTACGGAGCTTCTTGAAAAAAATGAGTTAGAAGTGAATTCTAGTGTATTTTTACCTCGTGAACCCGAATACCAACACCACTTGCCGCACAAGTATTTTTAAACACGAGAAAAACGCGAAAGATAGTCACTGTACGTGACGTCATCGACGGATCTTTTGGCTTGCCAGGGCTAGGGAGGCGGGGCTTCAGCCCTATTTTCAAATTTCTCTTATGGCTCTCCAGCGCGTCGCATTGAAATATAATTGTGATATCTGTTATTCTAAAGGCCAAATGAACGCAATTCAAGCGTTTTTTCTCAAATGTAGAAGTGCCCCATCTTCCCTTTAAGAGTGAAACGCGATAGCATTATCGGACCCCTTTTGCAAAGCCTTCTCATATAAACCGGCGCTCGTTCCCAAGCCATGCAAGAGCGTGTGCGCGGTCTAGTCTGTAGTGTCATGTGACACCACAGGTGGCTGTGACATCATGACCCTATCGACCCCCTAAATGTAGCGGAAAAATGGACACTAAATTTGGCAGCAAAACATTTTCCGCTAAATTTGGCAAAAATATTTTCGCTAAATTTGGCAAAAACTTTTTTTGAAAAATTTAGCGAGTCAATAGGGTTGCGACGTCGCACGTGGCTGTGCGCGTTGCATTATCGGATTTTTCAGTCCCGCCGATGCCGGATTTTCTGCAACACAAGCTCGTCAACGCTCTAGCGTTAATATTTCACATGATTGTTAGTATTACATTTGCTATACTGCGCGAGGAAAATATCTGGAGGCATTACCAACTCTTGTTCCTCCCTTTGTACAGCGCTAAACAAAACAAAATGAACCAGCGCAGCGCATGGCCTTGCTAGGCTGCGTATGATTCGCTTGAAGAACGTATACAAACACCAACTCATCTCTGTTACGTCACGGTGCGGTGGTGGCGCGTCGGTCGCACTTCCGGTCTGGGAC